ACAAAGAATACATAATCTTAAATTATTAAAACCATCTTCACCAACAATCTCTAAAATAATAGATCAAATCACTAATGAAGAAAATATTGCTAGAGACAAAGTTCATCCAGCTTTAATATTGGTTACGATAAGAGATTATGAAAATTCTGGAAAGTGAGTGACAATATTAAGTTATTTTAATATTATTTTCCTTATATTTTATTAATATTATATAATATATAATTTTCAAAGACCACTAACATATGAAAAAAGAAAAATTAAAGAACAATTTGAGAAACCATTACCAACTCCATCTAAGCCAAATTCTAAAATCATTGATGCTCTTTATAAAATGTTGAATCTTTCATTTCTTGTAAGTATAAATTTATTTAAATTTTTATATTTATTTATTATAATTTTAAAAAAAATATTTTTAATTTAGCATATACAACCAACTGGTTTACGTTATATGATAACAATTAATATGAACAAAGTAATGATAGAAACACATACTTGGCGTAGTGGTAATATAAATGGTGCAGAAGCAGGATGCATAATTGCACTTGCACTTCTTCGTAGTGAGAAGAATGTCACTATTGCCACATTTAAAAATATTGGAATTCACGTAATGAATATTGATAAAACAGCTTCTTTTGGTCAAACTATGAAAAGACTACAACAGATGCCTGTTGGAAACGTAAATTTGGGTAAACCAATGTCATGGGCAGCTCATCAGAACAATAAATACGATGTATTTATTAACATTGTAGATCAAATATTAGAAAAATCTGATGCATCTGAAGAGGCTCTTCAGGCATATAAAACAAAACTTAAACTTACAAATACAAAGTAAGTGTTTGTCAAAATTATTTTTTTTATAAAAATAAATAAGCTAAATATTGTATTTACTTATTTTCAGATTAATAAATTGTGCTGTATGCTCTTCATCGACTTATCGCAAACAAAAAATTGACAAAAGTATTTTAACAATTAATGGTTTTGATGCTAGTGTTCCTATAGTTATACAAGCTTTTGCAAAATCTTTGTTTTAGTTACTATATACATAGCAATTTCTTCTTTGGCAAGCAGTACTAGCTAAACAATTATTACGCTTTTAAAATGACATTAATTTGATTTTTAAAGAAATAACTCTAAAATAATTTTTGTGAGATCATTAATTAAGAAATACTTTGAAATATTTAGATTACAATCAAATTCATAAAATAGTTTTAAATAATTTATAAATGTTGCTAGTCTGATACTTGTATAACAATCAGAGCATACACTTGTTGAACCAAGTACTATAAAATTTTTAAATTAGAACTAAAATGACTATCAAAGCATGGCTTTTTTATTTGTAAGTATCATAAAAATTGGTAAGTAATTCAAAATTTTTATTTATAAAAAATTTGTTATGAAAATGAAGAAAATTATTTTAATCATAATATTTGACTATTCAAAGAAAAAAAATACATATTTAAATAATACATCAAACAAAAAAGATTTTTTTCCATATTGTCTTTATTGTTAATATTGTCAATTGACATTAATTAATTTAATATACAAAAATACTATACTCATGATAAATTAATTTTTTTTCTATTTATTCAAATTTAATATGATAAAACAAAGGATAATTCGATTATTCTTTATTATTAACTAGTATTTTCTCATATTAATACTAACACATCGATATTAATAAATATTTATTGCATGTTTTTAGTATTTAGGATGAGCTGTGTAATCTTCATTTTATTTGCCTTTTATTTGTCAAAGAGTGGTCCAATAAATTTTGTAAATATTTACTTAAAAGAATGACATATTGATAAATGAATCAATAATTTACAAGAAAATAAATGTGATACATCTGTGATTATCAATTTGATTATATAGAGAAAAATGTTTGAAATGCTATGGACCACCTTTTATTATTTAGAAAATAATTAAATATTTACTAATTTATTGCTTAATATTTGATATAATTAGTTGCGCAGCTAAAATTAGAATAAGACTGCATATTAGATACAAAACAAGTATCTTAAACGTAAAATGCATTTTTGACTAATGATGAAAAATACTTTTATTTTAATATATTAATGTATTGCCTGCTTATTTCCACTGGTTGATGGTAAAGCTTTCTGTAACATCTTTAACAAGAAATATAAATATAATGTGATTTTTAAGATACTTTTTGAAGACTGGTGTGCTTCTGGAAATTCCAATAATTAAAAAAAAAAAAGAGAATAGGATGCTGAAAAATTTCCCACTGTGATATGCATTTAGCCCCAAAGAATATAGATTTACATTAGTATAATTTTACTATTATATTTGCCATATCCAAAGTAAATGTGACAAATACTAAATACATTACTAATATAATACTGTGATACAGATTGTTATTGTTCAAACTAGATGAAAAAGTAAGTAAACCAGAGGCACACCATGTATTTGCTTCATTTGTTAATTAGTATCTATTAGCACATCAATTTTTCTTAAAAAAATATGACACTATCTATAGATACCTCTGCTTATTGCGATCCTTGAATTACCTTTACGAAATCCTTTGATTTTCAAAGTGAAAAAGTTTTTCTTAAGAAATGTTGCAAAAAAGCACGACGTGGATAGATACTCAGGTTTGACAAATATTTAAATTAAGTGCTTAAATATTCACGTGTTCTTTGCAGCCTATTCGGTAATTCATAGATCGATATTAGCTATATATTATAAATTTTAAAATATAATAAAGTTTTAGTTTCTTATATAAAAAAAAATAAGATTTGAACAAAATCATGTTTGTAGTATAGAGAATATTATATTAGAGAATATTATATTAAATTTTTCCAAAATATATTCTGAATGTAATTTTCAATCTTAGTTGCGCGACATCTTATAAAAACCTTTACAAATTCTTAAAAATAATATTTTTAGATAAATTTTCATAATAGATATTCATGACATTTTATATTGCACTTGAAAAGATTATTTATATATATTAAGCGACTAGATTGTATCATCTTATAAAGGGAATTTCATAATAGATATTCATGATGTTTTATATTGAAATATTGCATTTGAAAAGATTATTTATATTAAGCGGTTAGATTGTGTCATTTTGTAAAAGAAAAAAAAATAATTTTTTTTACAAAAATACTCTAAAAATAGAAGATAAAACATTTAATATAGTCGCGCATCTACTTATTATTTACTCTTTATAAATAATAGAACATATCAACTACATTTATATTTGTAGTTGATCATATTCATTAATATCATACAAGATAATAAATATTAAATATCAAGTTTTTATCTAACGATCGAAAAGAAACATTAAAAATATTAAATTTTTAAAATAATCTTAAATTATATTTTATCACTGTCATTTTATAACTGCCATTTTTTATTACGTATTAAATTTCACAATTTTTAATTAACTTGATAACGGTACTAAAACTTATAGTTATTAATATTGGAATTAATCATCAAAGGATATTAATATTTTTTTTAATGTCTTTATTATGATTATAAAGAAAATTTCTTTTCGATCGTATTTCGAGCGTAAATTAGACATGTAATTGTCTATTATAAGAATACGTCCAAAATATTAAAAAGAAAAAAAATTCACAACAGCGAACAGCGAAGACTATCTAATAAAAACAAATGTGTGAACTTATACTTCTCTTCTAAAACTCAGGTTGTGCTGTTCTATTTCATGAAAAACAATATTAAATGTGTTCATGCTAGTTAATAAAAAAAAAAAAAATATTTACCATAAGAAAAAAGAAGGAAATAAAAAATTCGACATTTCATAATAAATAATATAATGCATGTCAAGATAAAAAAAGATATATAGTATAGATATATAGATATAATATCTCATTATCTTGATTGCATTACATATTTCTTATTCAAGCAAAATTAGTTTCCTCATAAGAAAATGATCTGATATTTCGATCTGAAACATTTAATTTTCATTAGGAAGCACAAATTACTAATATTTTATGAATATGTATTCATATAAATATTTTTTAATTATCAAAATTTGAAAATATATATAATTGTAATATTTTTTAAGATTAAGTTCAAAAAAAAAAGAAAAGAAACTTGTAATTGCATTTTTAGTGCTGCACTTTGATGATTCGCAAAAAGAATGTTTAATGTTTCTTATAAATCTTTTGAAACAATATTAAAAAAACATTAAATTTTATAATTGTATAAATGAAGAATTGTATAAATGAACAAGATATCTCATCTATATATCGAATATATCAATTCACAATAGAACTGCACTAATTATGCACAAAAATTAAATTATTTTAATTATTAATTTGTGAATCACAGAATGATTATTTTTTGGTCTTCTTTATTATATTTCTTTATTAAAAAAAAGTACATTAAACTTATATTCATTTGACTATTTTTATTATATAGATATCAGCTATTTATTATTCATTTTGATATCTATTATATTCATAAATGATTCAAAGAAAATATAAAATCGATAATGTGCGATAATTTGTTCTTGTGCTAATTAATTATTTGCGATATAACGTTTTTTATTGTGTGCTTGCGTACGTTGATCGAGAATAGTATTATTACTTTTTAATTCTATATCTATCATAGTTATTTATCTAAATTATAAAACCAAATTATAAGCTATAAAAAAAAATCAAAAATTAACTACAAAAGATTCTATTACAAGAAATGGTTGTTATGGAATTTCAATATTGTTTTTATACCTAAATAGTCTGTAAATGTAAAAAAGTATTTAGTGACTGGATCGCTTCAACAAACAAAAAATTAGAAAGACAAACAAAAAAATATGTTATATTATTATTACATTTGTTAATATTATATTTCGATAAAATACACAATAGACATTTAAAACTAAGAATTAATTCTTTCAATAAATTTTAAACTGTTTTTGTTATAATATTAACATAATATCTTTGAATAAAATTTTTTTTAAATCTATTTCTAGAATATTTTTTTCAAGATACCTGGCATATTATAAAAAAAACATATTTATTATGATTTACTGAAAAAATGTTTATTTCCATGATACTGATACATATGACATCATTCATTCATACAGAATTCCTATATTGTACATAGTACGATATAGTTTTTCTACAGGCAGTAATAGACGCAAGTCATACCCGCTTGCACATTCATTCTTGTTCATACATACATTGCAAAATCTGTAACGCGAATTACACAACTGCTTATTTGATTATATATAATAAAACATACAAAAACAATTAATTCAAATAAATTAACGCGCAGAATCTTATGCGAAAACTAATTAAGCTATTCTCAGCAATAAAATTTCTTTAATTAGATGTACGTTTTTTTCATCAAGAAGATCAAGATGACTATTACTGATAAATTCATTATAGAACAATACACAGAATGATTTCCATAACTATGTATTGTTTACTTCTGATAACTTAATGAATAACAAACGTTCGTCGATCAGTCTTTTTATATTCGACGTATCAACGACGTATTAATCTCTGCAATATTGCATGAGACTGTGTTAATTCAGTCTAAATTAGGACGAATATATATTGATCATTTCTTAGTTAAAGCTCATCTTTCAGATCTTCATCATCTCCACCAGTTGGTGGAACTCCACCACCTGCACCTTGATATAATTTAGCAATAATAGGCTGAACAATATCTGTTAACTCTTTTTTTTGTTTTTTATATTCTTCTGGATCAGTGTCTGCATTTTCTTCTAACCATTTAATTTTTTCATCAATAGCTTCTTCCATTTTTGCCTTATCGGAATCGCTAACTTTTGAACCAAGTTTTTCTTTATCGGCCAATTGATTTTTCAAGGAATATGCATACGATTCGAGTTCATTACGTGCTTCTACTCGTTCTTTTAATTTTTTATCGTCATCTGCAAATTTCTCTGCATCCTTTATCATTCTTTCTATATCATCAGGTGTAAGGCGGTTTTGATCGTTGGTAATAACAATTTTTTCACGGTTTCCAGTTCCTTTATCCTCAGCAGATACTTGAAGAATTCCATTAGCATCGATTTCGAAAGTAACTTCAATTTGTGGTATTCCTCGTGGTGCTGGTGGAATACCAGTAAGATCAAATTTACCAAGAGGATGATTATCTTTTGTCATTGGACGTTCACCTTCATATACTTGAATGGTTACTGTATGTTGGTTGTCTGATGCAGTAGAAAAGATTTGCGATTTTTTCGTCGGAATTACAGTATTTCTATAAACAAATACAATTATTTATTTATATAAAAATTAATAACATATATAATATATAATAATAATAACATGTATAATATGTAAATGAAAAATATAAAAAATATTTGTTTACCTTGGAATAAGTTTAGTCATTACACCTCCAACAGTTTCAATACCCATAGTAAGTGGATTGACATCCAGAAGTACAATAGCATCTGTATCTTGTTCTCCAGAAAGTACACCTGCTTGCACAGCAGCACCATATGCAACAGCCTCGTCAGGGTTAATACCTCGTGATGGTTCTTTACCACCAAAGAATTCTTTAACTAATTGTTGAACTTTAGGAATTCTAGTAGAACCTCCAACGAGTACAATTTCATCTACATCTTTTTTATTCATATCAGAATCTTCCAAAACTTTCTGTACAGGTTTTAAAGTACTACGGAAAAGATCCATATTCAACTCTTCAAATTTGGCACGTGTTAAAGTCTCAGAAAAGTCTTCACCTTCGAAAAAAGATTCAATTTCGATTCTCACCTATGACAGAATAATTATATACAAATTATAAAAATATTATACATAGTTAATGTTATTATCTTCATAAAATGAAACATACTTGGTGGCTAACACTGAGTGCCCTTTTAGCTTTCTCAACTTCACGACGTAATTTTTGTAATGTTCTACTATCTTTACGAATATCTTTGCCTTTTTTCTTTTTATATAATTTCGTAAAATGATCCATCACGCGTAAATCGAAATCTTCACCACCTAAATGAGTATCACCATTTGTTGCCACAACTTCAAATACTCCATTATCAATTGTAAGTAAACTGACATCAAAAGTACCACCGCCTAAATCAAAAACTAATACATTTTTTTCTCCATCTTTTTTATCTAAACCATAAGCAATTGCAGCAGCTGTAGGTTCATTAATGATTCTCATAACAACAAGTCCAGAAATAGTTCCTGCATCTTTAGTAGCCTAAATAAAAAATAATTACTTACTTAGTAAATATTTTCAAAATTAAATCTAAATCTTTTTTTTTAAAATATATATTTTATATTTACTTGTCTTTGTGCATCATTAAAATAAGCTGGTACAGTGACTACAGCATGAGTAACTTTTTTGCCTAAATATGCTTCTGCTGTTTCTTTCATTTTACCAAGTACCATAGCAGAAATTTCTTCAGGTGCAAATACCTTCTCTTCACCATTAATTACCATTCTTATATGCGGTTTACTATTCTTTTCAATTACTTTAAATGGAAAGGATTTAATATCACGTTGTACAGTAGGATCTGACCATTCTCTGCCAATTAATCGTTTGGCATCAAAAACTGTATTTTCAGGATTTGTAGTCAATTGATTCTTTGCAGCATCTCCAATTAATCGTTCACCATCAGCAGTAAATGCCACATATGATGGTGTAATTCTATTTCCTTGATCATTAGCTATAATTTCTGCTCTTCCATTTTTATAAACTCCAACACTAAAACAATAAATTATTCTAAGATTATAAATATTTTTCTTTATTAAATATATATATTTATATAATTTAAATTTATTTACCAAGAATATGTTGTGCCTAAATCAATTCCAATGACAGTTCCAATATCTTCTTTTTGTTTTTCTTCTTTTGCAAAAGCAAAAGTTATTAAGCCTAATAAAAGTAGCGCTTTAACTCTTTTCATTTTTTTCATATAAATGATCTTTTGTAAAATGAATATAGAATTCCTGAAATTTATATTTTAAATCTATAATATATCTATAGTAACATTCTATTTTAACATTTGTTTTATAAATTTATAAAAAATTTAGCAAAAAAATATAGCAAACAATATCTTAAACCATATTTTATACATAGAAAATTTTAATACTGACATGCAAAGTAAGTAAAAATTATCATATACAATTAATATATAATAATTAAAAAATTAAATACGTGTAAATTTCATGTAAACAATGAAAGAAAATATCTTTTTATTTATAATGTAGTTAATAAAAAAAATTAAAATAAATCATTGTGGAATATTTAATTTTGATGAACATATTTCGATATGTGCAAAGAATATTCTTTCAAATTATGATAAAAATTAATTAAAATTAAAATATTCTGTATAATAATTACATTTAACATATTTTACAAACATTCTTTCACTTTGGATAAAAAATGAACTCCAATTTCATACCAAGACGTGGCAAATAACGAAATATTCTTTGCGTTATGAAATTCTAAACACAATACTTTTTTCAATTTATTAATAACTTTTTATATATAATAATAAAATTTAAATAATTTTATTTATATTATATTTGTTACTTACCAAATTAAAATATATAAGTATTCCTTTTTTTTTTTTTTTTTTTTTTTTTTTTTTATAAGTAAAAAACTTTGTTACTCTCAGCACGACTTCACGAATAACACGAACAACTAGGAATGACTGACTACAGAGATCTTAGTACCGGGATATTAACAAGGTGAATTCGTCGTGGCTTATGTTGATTGGTTCCAAAGTGTCCGTACTAAAGGAAACATACGTTTTCATTGGTTGAACTACATATAGTTGGCTACTATTGATAGGCCCACGTCACAACGGTACCATACTTCTGGAAATTTCTAATATTCTTACTATTGGAGGAATTAATGCAGAGAAAGGTTCATGATACGTGAAGATAAATTTATCCATTTATTATCATTATTGCATCTTGAGAAAATATTCGTATATTTTTTAATTATATTTCTAATTATTTATTAAAAATATATATTATTTTTAATTAAATTTTTTATATAAAATGTCCATAAAATTATCAATTTTTTCTCTTTCGAAAAATATTAATTTTTATATCAAAAGCATCAGAAATTGAAAATAATAATTATTTAATTTGATAATTTTATTATGTAGACTAAAAAATATAAAAATAATAAAATTATTTTTCTTTTAACACAATTGTTTTGATTTTTTGTTAAATCATCTGATGCAATATGATAAAATATAATAGGATTTACTTTAATTAATTATATAATTTAATAATATCATTATTTTCTGATATTTTTATTTTAATCATGAAAGTTTTTTATATTAATTTCAAGAAATAATAAATAATAAAATTTATAAATATATTTTATTTCCTACACCAAATATTAATCACATTAATGATGCTAATATTTGCTTTTTGGTTGCAACATATCTAATATTAATGGTGTAAAATATGTTATAATACAATCAGCACCTGCTCTTCTCATTGATAAAAGAACTTCTTTTAAAACATTTTCTAAATTTATTGCACCATTTTGAGCACCATGATAAAGCATAGCATATTCTCCTGAAACTTGATATACAAACATCGGATATTCTGGATGTGCATCTTTTGTATGTCTAACAACATCCAAATAAGGTAATCCTGGTTTTACTATAAGCATATCAGCTCCTTCAGCAACATCTCTAGCCTAAGGAAAAAATGTATTTTAAATATTAAAAAAGATAATAGAAAATAAACAATTTTAAAAAATCAATAATACTAACAGCTGCTCTAGCAGCTAATCCATTACTTCCTGGAGGTAATTGGTAACATTTTCTATCTCCAAATTTAGGTGCAGATTGTGAAGCATCTCTAAAAGGTCCATAAAATCCTGATGCAAATTTCACTGCATAAGATAAAACTGCAACTTTATTCATTAATCCTGCTGTTGCTAATTTTTTTTTTATTGCACCTATTCTTCCATCCATCATATCTGATGGTGCAACAATTTGAGCTCCTTTATTAAATATATTATTAAATATAGATTATATATTTTTAAATATATAATATTTAATATCATAAATACATATTACTATAACTATTTATAAAAGAAATATAATCTTACCAGCTTTTGCATATGCAAGAGCAATTTCAGAAATTCGTTCAATACTAGCTTTATTATTTATACTTTCATCTTCATTTAAAATTCCACAATGACCATGAATAGTATAAGGACATAAACATACATCACATGCTATTAATAAATTTGGAAACCATTCCCTTATTAATGGTACAGCTTTAATAATGGGATTCTTTATACTATCTGCATTACTTCCAATATGATCCTATTAAAAAAAAATACTTTTTATTATTAAATTTTAAAAAATTTTTTTTTAAAGGTTACTTTTTTTAGATGTTTTGATACTCCAAATAATAATATTGATTGTAATCCTTTTAAAACCAATGGTTGTAACATTTTTCGTAAATGATTAATGCCATATCGATAAACACCTGGCATACTAGGAATTGGTTCCTTAGCATCTTGTTCATCACTATAAAAATATTTTTTTTATATAAAAAAATTTAAAATACAAATTAAACTTATAATTTTTAATTTTAAAAAATATGATTTATAAAATTTTCGTAATTATTACTATATTTTTATATATTCATATAAAAAAATATATAAAAAGTTACATTTAAAAAATTTTAAGAAATTATTCTACTCATTAATTAGATTAAAATAAAAAGATAAATTATTTTATATAAAATCTAAAAATAAATATATTTATTTTTAGATTTTATATAATAAATATTTTTAAACATAAGTAATATACAT